AATCTGCTTATTTTATTACATTGGAAAGTACTTCATGTGGTCTCCGTTCTCTAGGTGCTAGCATATCTGATGTATTCACAGCTTCCTGGCTCAGTATTAATATTAGCAGACTGGCGCTATGCCTCGCTCGGAGTTTGCACTACCCCATCTGTCGAACAATTTCTTCTTCTCAAAGACTATTTTGATGCCTGTTATTGGAATTGGCTTTAAAGCAAATGACAGGCTTCTAAATGGTCATTTACACTAAATCAGCAGTCAATTTGTTTAAATCGTGGCATTAAGTCTATTGCTGTCTTACATTTAGACATCGTTACATCAGGTACTAACAGGTAAAGCTTTAAATGTCTGTTTGACTTATCCTGAAACTCTAAAATGTTAACCACAATGTTAGACCATAAAGAGAGGTACTTTTTTTCAAGAATCTTTAAATCTGATAAAGAGCATTAGATGTTATATTGTTTAGGCATGTTGTTAGCTTTTTACATTCATTCCCTTTTGTCTGAATGAAGTATAGTATAATGTTGGTATCACATATTAAATTCCTCTTCTAATAAACATTTTATATTGCATTATTGTTTGGTTTTGCATCCAGAAAGCAAAATTGTTTTGATTTCCTTCTTGGTCATCTGTATTTATGATGCAAAATACTGCAAAAACACAACTATTGAAAATTAACAGGCAATTTTATTCAGATAAAATATTTTTATTTTTTATTTTATTTACCATATATATTTACTGCATTTGAAGAATTAAAATTTTAAGTCTGTCTATGTCAGGTGCAAAACTCAGTTCATGGATATGTAGTGTCTTCAGCCTTTAGTAACCAGCCCTGTAGCCAATTAATCAATTAAGCTAATTATCTCCTTAGACATGTACAGTATAGGCTTTTCTTCATGTCTTCTGCTGTTGTGTACTTAAAATATTCACTCTCTAAAGGTACAGTTACCTACAAATTCATGTGGTTAATTAAATGAATAGAGCAACTAAGTTACTGAGAACATTTTTGTAAAGGTCTGACGAAGATTCATTTGTGCCCTTGAACCTCGTTAGTGCTTAATCCCTAAATGGAAATGAGCTGAAGCCCCTCTCATAGCATTTCTTCTTCATCTGAACAGCCTGCACCAACACGAACAACACTAACATGCATAACAGGTGGCCCAGAATGCAGCGCTCAGTTTCAACATGCTGTGTATATGCTAGGAAGACAAGCCCCACAGAACGCACACAGTGTGAATTAAAGGGCTTTCTGCAGGAATATTGATCTGTCTGAAATTCTAAAAGAGAGAGGCAGCCTGTCTCACAAATGTATCTGGTTCCCATTTCTTCATCATAATATTTACTTTGACTTGATTTAATGGACTTCAACCCTGTATTGTTGATGTTAAGGTGTGTAAATACAATTTATATAATAATAAGAACTGAAACATTTTAAAATAATTTCTTGAGAGGTCAGCTAAGCAATTAAGGGTCAATTAAGCAATTAAACAATTTGTTGGATCAAACTCCCACAATGCACTCTAAAGGAAGTAACAAGAGAAGGAAGTGCTGATGTTTTAGTCCAGAGGGTGCCCAGCTGAGCTGACTCAGGCTGAGGCTTTTGGATGTGGACTAGTGGTATCCACCATGTGAACTCCAGGAGATTCATTTCTGGCTTTGTAAGTGAATACTTTGAGTATTTTATTTACTATAGCTCTCTGCTCCTATACTGTGTTCCACCTATTTTCAATGACACTAAGTCTAAAACAAGGTGGCAGTGAGCCAGAGCCAGCCCTCTGACCTCGTGGGCAAAAGGCAGGTCTGGAGGGGATGCCAGTCTGCTGCAGACTCTGCTTTTAGACTCAGTCCAGTTTCTTGATACAAGTGTTTCCCATAGCTTAATGTATTATGTAAGAGCATGCTGCCTTTATAGGAATTAACATATATAACTGTATTTGCTTCTGTCTCAGTCGTGCTTGCTAACTCTATACAACTGGTCTTGATCTGTCTGTTGCAAACTCTGGGTAGTGAGAAATAGCACTATGTTGTTCCCATAGTTGTCAAAATTTGTATTTCCCTCCACTGCATATTTTTTTCCTACTGGGTACGGTAATCAAGACAGTACTGTTATATACAGTGCAAAAAAGTACTCTCTTCCTGAGGAATGGAAAATGTTGTGATGTTGCATCTTTTTTATCTATGTTGATTGATTAACATTGAAATGAAAGAAAATTAAAACTGCAAATTTAAGAGCTTGACCAATTAGTGGACTATTTCATTTTGTGACTCATCCAGAGAATTAATCTGTGCAAAGGGGCAGGTGAGGACAAACTTGCCTTCTAAGTGGAATACAAAAGTAAAGGGCCGTTGACAGATTTTATTGGTGATGTGAATGCATCAAAGAGCTCCTTGAGTCCCAAGGATAGAATGCCTGATGTCTGATTACCAGCTAGTCCTAGAGTAAATAACGCCCACCCCTCAGAGCTGATTTGATTTAGAGGGTGTATATACACACAGATTCAGGGGCTAGGCATTTTCCATTACTTTTAAGGTTTGATTGAATTGAAAATCAGCAATTATGGCTCAGCTTTTCATGTCTCCACTTCTGACAGCGCATGTTTAATACAGGGCTGCACAAATCACTGGAGCTCATCACCCTTCCTGCTCCTTCCACAACAAGTATGATCAGCACCATGCATCCATCCTGCCAGACACACTCTGGACCTGCAGTCTGAATACTGTGCCTGGGCACTGCAGTGACCTCTGTACAGCTCTTCAAACACCTCAGACAAAGTAGACTCATCAGGACTAACTAGCTGTGTGTGTGTTTTGTGATCACTAATCGGGTACATCAACAACTTTCAGCAGTGTTTTCTACTCTTATAATATCTGTAACTGCGATTTACAGACACCAAGCTTGTCAATCAGCAATCTGTAATTCAAACTGATCACAATCTTCCAAAAAGCTGACCACAACAACTCAAGGTAGACAACACTTAAAATAATGTTTTACAGCAATAAAAAGAAATGTATTAGCTGTTCCACCCATCCCTTTTCTAACCAATTCAGGACTGCAGGGGAGCCAGAGCCTATCCTAACGGGCAGCAGGCACAGAGCAGGTTACACCCTGGACAGGAAGCCAGTGTTTTACAGGGCAGACAGGCACAAACACAGACACATGGACACCTAGAGCCAATTTTCTCAGAAGCCAATTAACCTACCAGCATGTTTCTGGACTGTGGGAGGAAACCGGAGCACCTGGAGGAAACTCACACAAACCCAGGGAGAACATCCAGACTCCACACAGACAGCACTCCAGTCTGGAATTGAACCCAGGGCCCAAGTGGTGTGAGGAGGCAATGCTGACCTCTGTGCCGCCAGAACACCTATTAATTCTTCCATCACAGGAATTGATCATCATGTGTTCCTTGTCACTAACATTATTATTCCCTCTGTACACATCTATAAAGCTAAAAGGCTACTTCATTTGCTCCAAAATACAGATCTATTTGAATTAACTAGTATTTTAAAACAACATGGTAAAATATCCAGAACAAGATCCTCAAAAATAATATGGAAGAAAAATGGTTTAATGAAAATAATAAAACAGTGCAACCTGTGAAAGACCTTAGCACACAAACATTTACACACAGGAAGATGTGTATATATATATACAATATACTGTATAAGCCCAGAGACCCTGATCTGGAAATGTTTGTGGGGGTGGGCAGTGTACTTCCAGCACTCCCAGCCTTTATCACATGTTTGCCTGAGACACAGCCCCTCCCCCATGCAGTTCATTTAATTTATCTGCTTTATTGTACTTTAATGTTCTTATCTTCATTGGCAACTCTACTGCTCTTGCACAACCTTTTGGAATGTTTTAGATGGATAGGATATTCTGGTCTCTATTTTTTTTTAAAGACCGTATATAAACTCTCCATTATAACTGAGCTCCTTCACTAAAGCAAAGCTTAATTCTTTAAAGAAAGAAGCCATCTGAAGCTAGGAAAAGATGCTTGTGTTGAAAAAATCCTGACAAATTATTACACATGAACACTGAAATAAATATAATTTACTTTAGCACTGTAGGCAAAGCAGCTGAAATGCTGTTGTTTTTCTGGTTATACGATGTACGCTGAATGCTTCTTTTAACATTTATTTTAAAAAATACTGTATCTAATTTTCGGCCACATACGGTACAACCTGTTTGCATGACAGTTTTCAGTAATTACAAAATACAAAAAAGTGCACATCATTGACCATAATGCACCATAACAAAGCTTTTATAAATTAATGTTCCTGAAAATTGACAATAAATATGGGCAAAACAAGATATTGTATGATTGTAATACTGAGCACTAGTCTTATCTTAGTCTTAAAACATTTTTTTTAAATAAAACACCTGTGAAACGTGTATATGTACAGTATTTGTGTAAACAGGAAAGCACAGGACAGTGGGCTGGGCCCAAAATATAATATGAAGCCATCGCTTGAGTCTGGTGTGTAGCAATACTCTGACTCCAGCTGAAATAATGCTTCTGTAATTTTAGTGTGTGATTTACGCCATGTGTGCCTGCCTTGCAGTTCCCTTTGTGAGTTCTATTAAAATATCACATTGCATACTATATGTTTACATGTGATTTGATTGAAAATGTTTTCTAAGGGCAGTTCTTAAAAGAGACCTACTCCTCAGTGAGTTACTGTTTCAGTAAATGTACCAGGGCCTTGCAACATTTTTTTTCTTTTTTTTTTTTTATCAGGCTCCAACAGTTGATTTCTGAGAAGTCATGTGACCTGCTGTGTGTTTTATGTGGCACTTTCACTGCTCTAAAGATTCAAATGAGTGCAAAATGACTGTGGGGTAGGAAAGCTGTGTCCCAGAGCAGTGTCATGGCTTGTTTTACATGGGAGCAGAGCTGCAGCTCTGACAGTCTCCGCTGCCTTTGTCACTGAAACCAGGCAGTGTGCTAGACAGCCAAAACCCAGAGCAGCTAAACTTCAGCAACAATTTCCTCCTGCTGCAGCAATGATCAGCTGGCAGAGCTGTGATTGGCTGACTGCTGCTCAACTTCCTTAATAAACAAAAACAGCCTCCTCAGCTGACTGCCTTGCCCTCCTTTCGAATGTGGTGGCACGTTGGTCTGGAAGTTGTGCTCTGGGGGGACACTGCTGGTGGGACACTGTGCTAAGCTGGGCTGGATAACCGAGGAAGCTGCCGACGGTGAGGGAATTCACCCAGGGATGCAGTAGGAGGTGGAGGCAGAATTCTGCAGGAAGGCATTCCTAGGATTTCATCAACACCCAGCAGCAGGCAGAACTGTGCATGTGGATCGGAGTCGCTCTGAAAGACGCACATAGACTGAATGATGGACAATGGCTATGAGGTTTTAATTAACAGCAGCGCTTCTGACTCCTGTAAAGTTTTTTTATCAGGTAGGTATTCAGGGTGGTAACCCTGAGTGTATGTGTGCTGTTATTTTCACTTTCATTTTTGCATTTCTTTATATTTGCCCCTGTGTTAAGTTTAAAATGTGGTAGCAGACTAATGTCAGTGGAGGAATTTCCACAACACCTGACACTGAACCTCACTGTGTAAACTGGCTCAAGCAGTTTCATGCCTTCGCTACCTCAGCATTGAAAGTGGAGGAATTGGAGCTGGTGCTGTAAACGGATATGTCAGCTGTCCTTTCCTGATGTCCTGCATCGGTCGCGAATGAGGTGCTGCAGAACCTTCAGACATGCTGTGTGTGCTGGAGCAGGGGGCTGGGATCTGCCCTGTTGTGAAACTTCAGAGAGGCAGGCAACAGAGCACCAAACAACACAATAGCCTAGCCAGTAATGTTCCAGTGCATAAACGCGTATACATACAGTATTGAACTCCTGTCACAAAGTCACGCTACAGTGTTCTAAGTTTTTTTTTATTGATTAAGGACAGTAATTTGTTTGCAAAGGAAGCTGTAAAATGTGGGGAGCGTTCTGCTTGTCATTTCCTCCGAGTATTCCCTTTCGTGATGGTGACAGGATGAGTGCAGCCGTGTAGAATGGGAATTGTATACATACAGGTGTCCACCTGCCCTAGAACGAGCCGTGAAGTAATGGACTGTGTGACATGAGCAGCACTGTCAACAGTCCTGCAAAGCAGGGTCTCAGCCTAGTGAACCTGCTCTTTACCTGGTGGTTTTGGATGATTTGTATTTATTCACAGCACAGGCCTGGAATTACCCATACTTCAGAGTCCTGCTCGCGCTTGTTATCTCAAACACCTGGAATCTATCTTATCACAATGTTTTTTTTTCCTTTCTTAAAATCCCCTTTCTGGCTCATGCGCTGCTGTTTACTAGCTATATTAAAGCTCTTGCTTCTTTGGGTAAAAAGTGCTGAGACACTTGTCCCGACACTGTTGTGCACAGGCCTATCCTTCTCCTCCAGCAATGCACTACTCTTCCTTTAACATCCTTTTTTTTTTAAAAAGAGTACATCACCTCTTTTTCCCTCTGTATTTATTTTTAGCCAGCCAGAGGACCTTACCAGAGTGCAGCAATAATAAAGACGCGACCAGCAGGTCGCAGACAAACCTCCTGGCTCCTTTGATTAATATGCATGTCAGAAGCAGAGCAGGCCTCGGTAACGGACGATCTCTGGTGCCCACGGGCTGCTCAAGGTGATGTGGAGTGCGTTCGGGGGGCCGCAGCCCCGGCGCAGGTTCGCTGGAACATCCTTCATGGGAGGGCAGCGTGGCCCAGCGAAACAAGCGCAGCTCTGCGCTCCGCCACTGCAGCCCCCCGCCATTCTTCCGCTGTGCCTCCGCAACCCCCCACATCCCTCCATCCATCATCGGAAAGATGCTCATTCCTTGAATGGGCCATGGAGGCCTGGAGCCTGTCCCTGAAGTGCAGGGCACAGAGTGGGACTGCAGGCTGGACTGAGCACTGGGAACAGTTATTATTATTATTCCACTGCCTGCCAGGTCACAGTCACAGTACCTGTAAGGGTTAGACATTCAAAAAAAATTTGTCCTCCTTTTATCTCAGAAGCCTCTGATTAGAAATGCAATCAGGCCGTTGAGGTTGTACTCTGAGCAAACATATCATGCTTCTGAAATAATACAGAAAACCATGCCAAACACGAAATATAAGAAACTCTAAGTGTCTTTAACAGACAATGCTGATTATTTTTTAATCACTTATGTCTTTCGATATGGACAGCAAGGTGATTACCGGTGAGGAATGGGCTTTGTCCTACTTTTAGAATGGTAACCTCACCCATCTGATGGACAGACTTACTGAACCAGGAGCCTGCTCCCTCTATCAGACCTGTGCTGTTGATCCTGCATAGCTTAACAATACATTGCAGGTCAAAAAGAGTCTCCATCACTTGCCAGATTAGATGCCAAGGAACTGGTGCCTCTTTTAGGAAATTGAAAGGGTGTTAATGCTTGCTAATGGCTCTACCACTGGAGGTTTTTGTCATTGTGCTAGCAAGCTGTTTTCATCAATGCGCCCCTGGTCATTGCCAGGTTTGACAATACGGGACTCTAAGCTGGCAAAAGGGCTGTAGGAGAGTTGCAGCAGCATCGTCCTGGCCCTGTCGTGCAACTGCAGTGTGATGTTGGGACTGGCAGCAGGCCATGGCCAGTCTGGACCATGTCGCCAGATTATTGGGTACATGAGACTTGATGTTGCCATCTGGCAGGATCCCAGTAAGGATCACGATTGCAATGGTTTCGTGGCCATCCTGTTGATTTCAGCAGAGCCAGATGGCTGTCACACAACTGGTAATTCAGTCTGACCGAGTTAAGAAGCTATTATTCTCTTTCTAGGCTAGTGTTAATGAGGTCATTAAAAAATCCTGGTATTCAAATTTAAAAATCCCTCATCTGATTGCACAGCATGTCACTTGGATGAGGGTTTTGTCTCTTATGGAAAACTAGAGCCCATTTTACACAAAGGATTGTGGGAGTATGGAACAAGCTTCCCAGCTACATAATAGAAGTTGAATGCCTTTCTCCTCTCATTTGTACCCTTCCTCACGGTCTCAGGAGTGTCCTTTCTGGCTAGACAGAAGGCCAGGAGCTGACTGTCCCTTTCCAGAGGCCCCACCTACAGTAAACACTTAAAATGTGTCTGTCTCTTCTGGTGCTTATAGGCCACGTGGCCATTAGTGTGCAGAGTGGAGACCACAGACAGACCAGTGTGGGTCCAGCTGCCGGACGGAGACTCTGTGAGATGTATAGTATTTTTTTAAAACTAGAACAAAAGGTGAAATTTAAATGATGGTGGTCAGATGCCTTTGTGCTGTGCACCAGATGGAGCACAAAACTACAGTATGTGACTGCAGCTCTTTTTTGATTCAGCAGCAGTTTGAGCTCCATTTCCTGCTTTAAGAAATATTGACTCCCAAATCTGCATTTTGTTAGACTTGGGCACCCAACATTTAGTTCTGTAATAAAGACAATTATATTATATGTAATAGCACAGTAAGAAATGTACAGTTTTGTCAAGAGCATTTATTATACTGTGTGCTTTGCTAACCCTTTATGTGAGAATGAGCTGGCATTTTTGAGAGATGGAAGAGGCTGACTGACATACGTAGCTCAAGCACTAAGAGTTTGGTGTGTTAACAGCTGAAGATTTCAGTGATAAAAGTTTCTCCTCGTGTAACACTTTTTTTAAAACAACAAGCCTTTGATAAGCTGATTGTGCTTATAATGACAGCTTTTCCCCAGCAGAGAAGAAACCTTTCTGATGCTTTGTAAACTAGGGAGTTTTCTGCTCTTTGTTAAAAGGTACTCAATGTAAGAGCACAGCGTTTCACCAGTTCATCGGCAGCCTCTTACAGCTTTACTGTAGGGCACTGGCACTGCTGACAGCTAATTATCAGAGCTGTAGATCTGCTCCAGAATGATTGTCAGATAAGCTGCATATTCATAGGTGCATTGTCAGATTATTGTTGAGCTGATAGTTTCCAGGGTGATGCAAGGTGTACTCTTTTTAAGGCCCAAGACCTGCCTGCCAATGACATTGCTGACAGCAGTATTGTACACAGTCATGTGCTCCAAACTTATGTGGCAAAGCGTGTCCGTGCAACGGTTCTAAAAGGACACGGTGCTGATGCTGGCACCTTTGTTTCTGTGTTGTATTGCTTGAGTGTGTGTGTTGCTTAAAGAGGAGCAAAGGCTCCATTTCTGACGCACTTAAAACATTCCACAGCTGTGGAAGCTGTACTTTTGTTTGAAGAATTTTCAATGTTTTGGGATTTCCCCTTCTCGTTTTGAAAGCATTGTTTTCCCACCCAACAATGCATTGAATAACACTGATTTAAAGGTCCATTGGCTAACCACCAAAGTGAAAGCACAGCTTACCACCTTCTGTCTGATTCTGAGGCACTTTATTTATAAGCCATTGTGCTAAACCTCTCTCACTAAAGCCACTAGACAAGCTGCTTCTCTTATACTGTTTAGACCTTAAGTAAAAACATTTCTTTGTAGAAAGGTTTTTAATGGATTGTTATAATGTGTTATTGTTATTAATGGATTGTTATAATGTGTCTCCTTCTGCCAGTGGTAATGTGAGTTTTTTTTATTGCTCACTTGCTTGCTCTGCCTTCCGTGTTTCTACGCTAAGTGTGTTGGGATGTCACTCGGGCGTGATTTGCACCATTTGCATGAAAATAGTGATGCTGATGAAAGTGATGACACACCTTTACTGCCACAGCATCTTAGCTGTGAGAGCTGACACGTCATTGCTTCTCTAACGTGTTTCACCCCACTTCTGTAACGTGTCTCCAGTCTCGCAGGGTCTCAGGATACAGTAGGCCTTAGCTGGGGACAATTCAGTGGCACTTCCAGCCCCAGAAGGAGGTGCTTGTTGATAAAACTAAAGTGCTTTCTTTCAGATCAGATTGCACATGTCACAGCTGGGGCTCTCCTGATTCTGTCCCCTGGCCTGTGGCGTGATCTGCCTGCTGAAGAAGACTTTCAGTGCGTTTCTGCTCATAGTTCTAGCTGTAGGAATAGCTCAATAATACATTCAAATGTGTTTTTAGGAGTGACAGCACAAAACAGTTTAGCTGCTTGAGCAGTTATTCTGTTGTATACGTGCAGTGCGATTTGGAAACATGACTAGTGAAGCCAGTTTAAAATGAGAACATTAACATCCAGGAGCACCACTGCTTGCCTCCAAGCCTTATTCTGAAGAATAAGAGAAGGCTTCCAGCTAGTGTCCTATATTTGGGTTCAAAGTCCTGTGATTTGAATTTGTAAGATAAGAAGATGAGGGAGAACAGCAGTAATTGAATCAAAGATGATGGGCACAGCATAAAAAGTATCCTAGGGGCCTAGTGTAGCCTGGAGTCTGCACCTTGTGCTTGACAGCCATGATACCTAAAAACTGCTCATCTCCTGTGTCCAATGGTGTGTATATTCACTCCTTAGG